TACCTCCCAACCCCGTCTCTTGCGTACTCACCCCTCCCACCCCTCCTTCTGAGCAACAAAGGCCCAAGGCAGATCAAGGAATACCTTACCCAACCAGAACCCAAAGTTTTGTGGGGTCCCTACTCAGTCTATGTTGGGTTTTATAACAAGAACCAACAAACAAAGTGGGTTCTGGTTGGTAAGGTAGGTCTGATCTCAGGACAGAAGCTGCCGCGGCACGCTGGCCAGGCAACAAATCACGAAGATCAGCACCACCTGCGTCGCCTGGGAGCGCGCCCAATGCGAGTCGTTGGCCAGCAAACACCTCTGGCTGTCGCTGAGCGGGGATTTAGGCACTCCTATAGGTCCAGGGAGGGGTGGAAGCTGAAGAAGTCTGTGCCATGGGGAAAACAGTTTTGTTGCTTCAAGGTGCAATGCGAATAAGTGGAGTCGCCGGCTTCACCCGGAGAACTGCGTCGCTAGCAGCCGTCTCTTCGAGTACTGGCCGGATCCCCCCTTCCAGGAAACACAATATTGAACCATGTTGCACATGAGCCAGAAGGGGAATAAACTGTGGCCAGCTCTTATAATGACCATCTTCCACCTAGTCTGGATGCGGGTGCGTCCTCTTTACCCTACCATGCCAAACTCGCTTCACGTACAAGTGTTCCTCAACACACAGCCCGTCCTGCACACAAAAATGGGGAAGAACAACGACAACCTCAACAACAATCATCAACGACCACTCCCCAGATCAAGGGACTACATAGTTGCTCTTCCTCCGCGCCGGGGCACGTTGTCAAACTGGTCATGGTCAAGCCAACGAGCAAAAGGCCCGCTTCGGACCAGTTCCATGCTTTGTTCTGGCAGGCGCAGCCCGACAGCACTAGGTACAAATCCACAACATTAGACATGTGATCTCAAAAAGGGCACGTGTTTTTGCTGTGCATCTATATACCGGGAGTGAGAACGTGTTGGATCTCTCCGCTGGCGGGTCCCAGAACAGTACAAGTAAGCAGAAACTCCAAGGCAACACGCGCACAATCTACCACGCTCGCAACTGCGCGATTGGAGCACGCAGGAAAAGACCTACTAGTCAACGCTCCCTGTGATCACAAGCATGGCCCTGCACCAACAGAGCTACTCAAATTGACCCCCTCCCCTTCGCGCGTCCTTGTATGGCCGGAAGATCCCATTGAGGGCGAGGGAGATGATCAGAGTGACGGCAATGCCTTCCATTTGCAAGGCCTCGAGACACGCTTCAGAATCCGGATGGTCGGGCCCGGGCACAAAGACGCATAAGCGAACTGGCGTGCTTTTGTTTTCACATACACATTACTTGCACTGAACGATTTTGGCAAGAAGTATCTGCTCATCACAGATCGCTGCTGCACCCCGCTGCCGTCTTTCGCGACCGTGCGGCGGGTGAGAGAACCGTGGGGAGGGCGAACTTGTTGTAGAGGAGCACCATTTTGCGGCCAAGCTTCTCAATCTGACAGGGAGGTTGAAACCGGTTCACTGTACATGATTGCACAGCTGCGGAATCAAATTCAGGAAACGATCCCTGGATCATGTGCGTAATAGCGTCTAGGACCTGCAAGATCTCCGGGACCTCAACTCTCAACCTACCTTGCGCGGAGGCATGAAAACTTACCATTTTAACTCAAGTGGAAACTGCCTACGCATGGTCTTCTTGGATCTCACTGCATTCCAGCCAAGCTTTCCAAGCCAGCCTCCCATGCTGGGTACTTGGTCTTGTATGCGAGGGTCAGGTATTGGACGTGTGCCGGAGGTGCATCGCTCTGTCGAAGCACCTGTGTCTTAGCACGTCCTGTCGCCCTGCAACTGCAAGCTGGGAGCGCTTGATTGCATCCGAACTGCAGCCAGAAGCCATCCAGCAATGCCAGCTGTCGCACATATCAGGGTGGCACACACGACCGCGCTGATGGCGCACATGGATGACTCGCCGAATTTAGGAAGAAACTCGAACCGGGCATCCTTAGCACGTGAACCCAAATGCCACAACAAGGCTTGCGTCCGGTCGCGGGGCTCTGCATGCAACTAAGCTGCGCCCCCAATATTGTTTTCTGGCCGGATGCGAAGCATGACGAGGTACTTGCCGAAGACGGCGACGAAACGGGGCAAGAACACGTTGGTTCCCAGCACCAGTGCCATCCAGGGGTCGCGCACGATTGCCAGGAGCACCTTCGATGCCGCAGGGCTAACCCTGCGCAGCCCCTCCAACAATATCACGGGAGACCCCTCGCAGTTCCAAAACGCACGACTGGTACATTTAATCGTGAAGTGGAATCGTTACCGCTGTTCAGTTTACCCGGTTTTCTTCGCGAGCAGACTGCAGGGAATCTTTCTGTCACCTTCAGTAGTGCCCCGTGCACTTGAGTCCTTTCAACCCTGTACGAACACAAAACAAGATGCACATCTGGCATCTCGAAGCTCCTGAAATGCATGGAAGGAGCTGTCAGCATCAACGGCATGATGGCGGATACCAAATGGGCATTGAGGAGTGATGGTTGGAAGTCGAAGAAGGCAAGCACGCACTCCAGTGACATGTCGGTTGTGCTGCTCCTGCTCTACCCACAGTGTGCAAAGGAAACTATTTTATTTCGAACATCCCCACCCTACAAACAACACCACTGA